CACCCTGTAACAGGCCGTAGTCACATTTATCACATTATCTGATGCCAGTCACAAAGCCTAAGGCCCCTCCAGCTGCCTCGTCAACCATAGCATGGGCAAGGTCGAGCATTGCTTGCGACTTTGCCATCTCTTGCGGGTTCAAGGCAACTCCCTGATGGTACGTAGTCTCGACAAAGGACCGAATATGACTGGGAAGGGAAGACCAATACTCGGCTTCATTCGCATCATTCGCGCGTTGCCAGTTTCTGGGTACACAAAGATTTCCAAGACCGTGCCATCTGGCTGTGGGAGCAGTTGGCGGCACATTACAAAGGGAATCCGTGGATCGCTGGATATAATATTCTAAACGAGCCCACGGATCCCACACATACACGCCTCCAACTCTGGTACGATAGGTGTATCAAGGCGATCCATGCTATTGACCCGGACCATATCATCTTCCTCGATGGCAACACGTTTGCGTCCGACTTCAGTCATTTCGACGGCAACCTGAGCGATCGATGGCCGAACTGTGTCTATGCAATTCATGACTACAGCCTCTATGGGTTTCCCAAGAGCAAGGAAGTGTATGTTGGAAGTGAGGAACAAAAGGTTTGATAACCTACCGAGGCATGTGCGTGTTAATGCTAATAAAGGGATCGTAGGTCCACCTTCGTCGTGCCTATGAGAAAAAAGTGGTTTGGATGAAGGAAAGGAAGCTGCCCATCTGGAACGGCGAGTTTGGTCCTGTCTATGCTCGCAAGCAATATGACGGAGAGACGTGGGAAGAAGTGAATCGAAGTCGGTATCAGTTACTGCAAGACCAACTCGCGATATATGACGAGGAGAAGATCAGTTGGAGCATCTGGCTTTATAAGGACATTGGGTTCCAAGGTCAGACTATACACACAAACGATTAGTCATGTGCTTACCCATATCGTTAAATTAGGAATGGTCCATGTTGGACTCGAAACTCCCTACATGAAACTGTTTGAGAAATTTCATCACAAAAAGTACACGTTGGCCGTGGATTCATGGGGTGCTTCGATGACCGGAGTGAAACATGTCTATTCAGTACTCGAAGACTTTATCGCTCAAGCCGTGCCCGAGGAATCCGATAGGAGGCTCTACCCATATCCCGTTTGGCAGTTCAGCGACAGGGTTGCAAAAATCAGCAGGAACATTCTTCTTGCCGAGTACTTGATCAAGGAGTGGGCCGAGCATTTCCGAGGTCTAGATGAAGCACAACTAGATGAGTTGGCCGCAAGTTTTAAGTTTGAGAACTGTGCCCAAAGGGAGGGTTTGAATAGGGTGCTCCAGGAGCATCATACCATTTCAAGCACCTAAGTAGCCATTCTTGTAAGACTTGGCCATCACGAGATGTTTCTAATCTGTCAAAAAGTTGAACCAAACATATTTGTGTCGTTTGAGGGTCGAAATGGGAGAGGTCTTAGGAGTGGTGAATTACATACAAACAAGACTTATCGAGCACAACCACACTTAGGTGAGGCCACCACCCCCCCAAGAAACCCGTATCAAACTTTGGACAACCAACTACATTCGTACCGAAATAAGCTATATCTTCATACCTTTTTACGGAATTGATCGGCCACCCGAGTAAGGTAAACGAGCCTCTGACGCTCATAGCTGACCACGATTGCACCCTGTAACAGGCCGTAGTCACATTTATCACATTATCTGATGCCAGTCACAAAGCCTAAGGCCCCTCCAGCTGCC